AACACCCTTTAGTTCTTTCATTTCCAGTCAAAACAACCACAAGATGTTCATTTTCAGGAGATTAACAGTGTTAAGTCCAAGGAAAGTAGGAGAAAGACAAGAGTTTCCAAAACTGGAGTTCAGCTAATGATTACAAGATAAAGAAAAGGACAAATCAAACAAATAAGATGGGCATTCTCAGAACTGGTCACCCCACAGTCCAGGCCTCAGCATCACTGAATGTGTTTGGGATTACTTGTATGGTGAGAAGCAGAACCTGCAACCAACTTCTAAGACTGAACTTTGGAAGTGTGGAAAAATAGCCCTGCAGTCTCCAGAAAAGAATAGAAGCTGTAATAAAGGTAAAGAGTGGACACACTAAATACTAAAAAATGTATAATATATTTAGCTATTGAGGCTTCTGTGTACTTTTCTCTTCCATTATGTTTTCTGCTTTTTTCCTGATGCTGAAAAATGAATAACATGTACTTAACATCCATTTTAACATGAGAATGAAGGGTGGTCTCTAACTTTGCATAGTAATGTAGATGTAGTTGCACTGAAGTGAAAAATGCGGTCATTGAAGTCACTGCTTCATATTAAATCCAATGTGCTGGAGTGAAGAACCAAAAAACAATATACTCTATAAATCAGAGAATTAGAAGCTTGGTCTCAGAATAAAAAGATGTAAATGAGCACATACAGTCACTCTCTTTGTAACTGGAAACCAGAAGTTCTTGAAAAACAGGCAAATAGAAAACAACAGTTACTACAATCACACAATTGTGAAGCTTTCATTGCTAAAAAGTATCCTGCATTAAGCAACAATAACACAAAATGCCTTTTTCTTACAAACACCAGAGCTGACCTAGAAGCCTGAATAAAAATGATGATTACTTTTTAAACCCATGATTCCCAGAGATTAAGTATCAATAACACAAACAAATAAATAAATAAATAAAACCAAAGGCCTTTTATAAGTATTTATAAAATTGTAAATATTGCAAACAGCACAGCTGTAAATAAATTCTTACCCACAAGTCCCATTTCTGATTTTCATCACCCTTAAAAAACACAAAAAAGAGAGAACAGTAGCCATCATCACTAAAACTGTCATCACTCAATGAATTATGTATCATAAACATATACAGTTGTATGCAAAAGGATGTGCACCCCTGGTCAAATGACATTTTCTGTTGAAATTAAGTTACACATCCTCTACAGAGAACATACTTCTCCATATTTTAAAGCACAATTGCTTTTTATTGGCTGAATTTAACATAAATAAATAAATAAATAAAAATAAAACATAATAATAAACCTAAACAAACGTTATGGAAAGTATATTACATTTTTTATTTCTTTCCCAATATGTTAAACTCAGCAAATGAGATAGAAATCATGCACTCAAATTTGCAAAAAACAGTCATATTGAATATTTAAGAGGATGTGTTAACTTAGAAAATCAACAAAACATGTACTTTGCTTGAGGGTGTTTAAACTTCTATATGACTGCATAACGGTTACGACAGAGGTCATTTATTAACTATGTGTAAAAATCTGTTCATTTATACAGCAAAGTTCTACTTTATCTTACCCGCTTTAATTGAATGACTCCAGCAAAGCAGAGATGAGCAGACAGAAAAACGATTCCTGCCAAAAGTACAAAAGATTTTTGATTCATTTTCACACAATGTTGTAGAAAGTGTGGAGTTCTGACTGAGCGCTGTGTTCAGATGAGAGAGATTTGGCTCCTGTGTTAAGTTCAAACAGTTCTTCTTGTAGTTCTGGAGACAGTGAAGCGGCAAATAATGATAAAGATCTAATCTAATAAGAATTACAAAATAGCTCAAAAGGCTGCCTGGACCCAGCTCTGTCGTCACTCACAGAGAGGAAACAACACCGTTTAACTGACATATTTTAGGAGATGCAGTTGATTAAAATGGCTTGAAAGCTTTTGTTACTGCAGTATTAAGAACTGAGCATTCAGCAACAAATGTTTATGTCCCTCAGAGAATAAAAGGCCTTATATTTGGCATGACCTGAAACCAACACAAACTGTAAAAAAGATTTGGTCTTTAAAAAAAAAACCCTCAAAAACGTGGCTTTTAACTCTGCTTCTCAACCCTGCTCCTAGAGGACCCCCAGCCCTGCACATTTTTTGTGTTTTCCTGCCAAAACACACCCACTTCAATTCAGGAAGGGCTTGTTAAGATGCAGGTGCAGATTAGTTGGATCAGGTGTGTTGGGAGCAGGGCAAACACTAAAATGTGTGGGGCAGGGGTCCTCCAGGACATGGGTTGAGAAAAACTGTCTGTTTTAAATGTTAACTCCCCTTGGATGGCTTATTATGATTACAGCAGTATGCAAAAGTTTGAACACCCCCAGGCCAATGACATGTTTTGTTGATTTTCTAATTAAAAATAAGTTAACACACCCTGCAATGTAAAATTGTACTATTTTTCTGCTAATTTTAGGGCACAATCTCTATTTATTCGTTTTATTTGTTGAGTTTAACACATTGGAAAAACAATGAAACATAAAATTTAAAATGTGCTATAATTTTTGTACAGGCTATATTTTATGGTTTTGACCCTTGCTAATATGTTAAATTCAGCCAATAAAAAGTAACAGTGCATTAAAATGTGCAGAAGTGTGTTCTCTGTACAGGATGTGTACATTATTTTCACTTAGAAAATCAACAAACTGAAAAACTGCTCCACTGTTCACTCTTCATTGCTGGAAGCTGTCAGCTTAGCGAGCAAGCTAAAATAGTTACACACACTACAACACAGTACAGTTTTGGCTCACTGATGCTCATGCATTCATTCTCTGGTCTCAGTTTAGGCAGGGAATGAGGGCCCCGTTGTCACATTATTCCGTCAGGCATTCAAAAAGCTTTTTCTCTTTCGTGCATTATTTAGTTTTTTTGTTTCTGTTACATTATTTAGTTAACATCGTGAGTATTTTGTGATTTGATGTAATGGAACGCTTTACTTTGAATTACAAGAGGTATAAGGCAGATGGATACAGTTTTAAGTGAAACGCCCCCCTTCAGGGTCCTGGTATGCAAAGCTGTGCTTTTGTTATTGCTGTTAATGTTATTGTTGTTAGCTTTAAGACATGTTTGTGTTATTTGTGCTTTATTGTGTTGGACTGTGAGATAATTAAAGTGGGTATCAGTGTCTACCATGAAGAGAAGATGTACGGCTAGATATAAAAGAGACCATCCACGCTATTCTAGCTGTTTTTCAGTGGCTTTTTCTGTCTTATTCAATAGACGTGCGTATCTGATGCAGAAATAAGGGTCTCTTCTGGTTCTTCTCCACCAGGACGCCACATTTGATGTTAGAACTGGTATAGCGCCACCAAGCAGTGAAGAGTGGCACTTAAACTCTGTGATGGCTGGCGGAGAAGACAGTACCCCGTTACGCCTATCTCCTTCCAAATGGGCCCAACCACGCCAAGAGCAACCTGGCTGGGTGAGGAAAATGGTGCAGCAGTGCAAGAGTCTTGCACAAGGACTCTTATTGTTATAGTGTAGGGTGCAGAGGTGTTACCCACTAAACTACACCAAGAGTTTCCATTTCGGCTCCCGAGTGGCGCAACCGTCTAAGCGTTGGCCCTATCATTAGGATATCGCGAGTCCCTGGTGATGCTACAGCCATCAGTCCGAGAGAGCACAATTGGCCTCGCTCTCTCTGGGTGGGTGGGATGGCTGCCTTTCTCCCCCCATCACTTAGTCAGCGCAGACAACAGAACTGGCGGTTGGCGCTTTCCTCCGAGCGCGCTCAGATGTCCAATGACGTCGCGTGAGCGGCAGCTCGAAAAGAAGCGGTGGCTGGTTTCACAGGTCTCGGAGGAAGCCTGTGTTAGCCTTCACCCTCCTAGCGTTGATAGCGTCGTGTGTGATTGGGGGAGTCCTAACCAGCGGGTGGAATTGGAGACGACTAAATTGGGGAGAAAATCGGGTAAAAATTGAAAAAAAAAAGGTTCCATTTCAAATCTGTTATAAGAAAGTAGATGTTTATTTCATGAACACAGCATGAAAACGTGTACGTTTTATGACTTTAGATGAATTCAGTAAGTGGTTAAGTGAGCCCTGTGGAAAGTGACTGAGGAAGCCTCATTGTCATGCAGCAGACAAAAAAAAACTGTAACTCTTTGACTGTGATTTACTACTGGCCTGAAATTTTGTTTCACCAAGAACCAGGAGAGGAATGTACAATGTGTAATTGTTAAATAGGAGCAGAAACATGGTAGATGAGCATGTGCATGTGTTTTATCAAAAACAGGGAAGGAGAAGGAAGACAAAAAATAAACTGTGTTCACGACACAGCAAAGCTGGATGTTGTGCAATATTTTAATTCTGAATTGTAACGTCTGACAAAATTATATAAAGAAATAGATCTTACACAATTCAAAATAAGAGAAAAGGAGTGAATGACAGAGTGAGATAGCATAAGGGCTTGTGAGATATGAGCATGTAGTCTTTATCTTAAAGGCCTTGTCAACATGGTTTCAAATATTTAATTTTTTTATTTTAATAGCAAAAATACGCCGCTGAAAAAGCATTTACCAGATAAACGCTCCAAAAATTCTGAGTCGTGCTTCAGAAGGGCACACGTTCCCGTTGTGAGTCGGCACAGCCATATTTGCGGACATCAGAGAAATTTCTTGTGTGCCTTCTTGCACGTAAAGTACAGGTGTGAGGAAACACTGTTAGCCTTGATGTTCGGGGGTTAACTGTAGGTAGAGTATTCCTACAGTTAAGGTGGGCCGCTATCATAAATTAAGTTAATCACGCTCTCATAAATTAAGTTAATCACTCCTGCGACAGGAGGCTAATGCAAGAAGCAGTATTTAGCTATGCTACAAACAACGGTGTAATAAGTCTGATTGGTACTTTGGCAGATCTGACATGACCTTCGCCAAATTTTGTCCCACCCAACTCAAATCGAATTGAAGAAAATGACAAAATAATATTTTAAAAAATTCTCCACAGAAAAGACCAACAACATTCTTTCTCTGCCAGTTATTATTAAAAGCATCACAAAAACTATAAATAATAGAAGAAAATGATGAAAACAGTAAACAGGGGTTTTAGTGCTTAACAATCTGTGTTGTTTTATGTTTTTGAATCATAGCTCATCATCCAAGATCACCACAAGATTGTTATTAGACAGTGAACTGGTGACTGTTTATTGATGGTGCAGTGCTCCCACTGAAAATCAGCTACAACATAAATGTATATGTTGAATATCAAAATATTCTGTCCTGTTATTTATGGATATATTTTAAAAATCCAGCTGAGCTGCTGTGGGGAATCTTTGGTCTGCTACGCTGTAAAAACAATTTCACTGCTTTGACTTTAAGCAACCTGGCTGCCTTAACATTTTTGTTAATATCAAATAGTAAGCTAACAAAACAATAACCTGTCTTACATTCTGTTAACTTATTGTGTGAAGTTTAATAGAACAAATTTTTTTCAGGCAGCCTGGTTCCTAAAGCAAGTTAAAAGACCAAATAATTTGACAGTGTTAACAGATATAGTAGTGCTATTCTGTTAAAGCTAGATTTAAAGAAATATTTTACCCAACAATGCAAATGTTACCAATAATGAATGACAGCTTGTAAAGTCTATTTCATTATGAAATTAACCTTATAATGAAGTGTTACTCTTTAAGGACTTTCCATCAGTCTTTCAAAATTTCTGCATAATTAAGTAACTGTAATGTAGACTAAGTTATTCAGAGTGGTTTGATATGAAATGTGCTGTTATAGAGAAACCAAGTCAGATTTTTTCCCAGTGGTGGTGACAGAAACCAGACATTTGCTTAATGCCATTAAAACACAGAAACCTCACAGAAAGTTGTTACATGAAATGATGCTGCCTTATGTCTGAGAGTTTTAAGATGTGTTTTTGGTCTAAACTGTATTTCTAAAAGCTCTGGGAAAGTGGTGAAATAGTAATAAATTGAGAAAATACTAATTTCTTTGGGCAATATTTCACCCTACAACTCCCTCCATGTTTATCTCCACCATTCATGTGTGTCTTAAGACATCAAGCTGCATATATGTGACCATTTCATGTAATAGCTTTCTGTGAGGTAGGATTTAGAGACATTAACTCTTGAGATGTCTGGTTCCTAAAACCACCACTGTGAAAATTCTCTAGAACAGAGCATCTCTCAACAAACCACTCTGAATGACTTTGCTTACATTTTAACCATTTAATTATGATATATTTTGGAAAAGTCAATGGAATTTCTCTTTAAGGTTATGCTTTGCTATGTTACCCAAGTGCTGACAGATATGCAAGATGAGCATTGATCATATGGGAGATGGCAGTAGGTCTGCTTATGTAGACTGGAACAGTAAAGATACTTAACGGATATTTAATTTGAGAAAGCTGAATTCATACCAAGCCTGTACAACACGATGTGCTTTCTGAATCGTTTCTGCATCCCTTTTCAACTGAACTGTATCAAGATAGAACTCTTGACCTTACCATTTCAACCATGTTGGCCAAACTTCTGATTTATTCAATGTAATTGCATTTATGATATTAAATAAAAACATAACCAACACTGATAGCTAGATTCTGGCTGATTTGTGTAGAATTATGCACATGTCGAAGGGCCAAAGGATGTATGCAGTCTATTTTTGAGCTGTCATGACTGGACATTGGAGCACTGGAATGCAATTTACAATCCACTCTCAAACGTTTTGGGGGAAGTCCAAAAAACAGTGCTGTTTGAAGTCCTTAGATTACATGCATATAATAAGAGGAGCGAGGGAAAATAATCTATCCATGATGTAGAAGGAAGAGTCCAGTTTTTAGAGCTTTAAACGTCATGCGTCTGTTTATCGATTTTTGATTTCAAATGCTCTTTGTATGCCAGAATGTCCCCATTCCATTTTGTGATGGTCTGCTTCTCACACACCCAGATCTCCTTAGCCACCTGAAATAAAATGCAATCTAGTTACATTCAGCATTTTTAATATCTGGACAATCATTCCATCGCTAAATGCTGAAAGCTTTGAAGATTCTATCCACAAAAGTAATCCATACCTGCTGGATAAGTCTGAAGTCGTGACTGACCAGCATCATCCCTCCCTCAAACTCATTGATGGCATCAGCCAGTGCATCGATTGTCTCGATATCCAGGTGATTAGTCGGCTCATCCAGAAACAGCATGTGGGGGTTCTGCCAGGCCAGCCAGGCAAAGCAAACACGGCACTTCTGACCATCTGAGAGGTTCCTAATGGGACTCACCTGGAGGAGAAGTGTTGTATCATATTACATTTTATTTGTTTTTGTTACAGCTTTACATTGCTGAAAACTAATTACAATCAAGGGCTTCAAAGGGAAATCACCACATGGGGTTTTTTTTGGGCATAATTCAGTTGTTATGATGTAAAGAAAGTTTTTCTTTGGTTCATTGTATCGAAACTTACTGACTCTAATTTCTTTACAATGGTGGTGATAAGAACCAGTGGTCATGGCATCAACAGCAAATATAGTCATTTAATTTACTGTCCAAAACCACCAGTGAACCTGTTACTCCTGTGAGTTTTATATGTAATGCTGGTAATGATAAAAGAGGGATAAATCTGAAACAAGTTATGTTTTCTTTGAGAACTACTTTGCCTAAAACACTCTGCATGTACCCGTCTGCCATGAATGTATTTAAAAAAAAAACATCATTCACGCTAAAACTTTATTTCTAAACTTTCAGAAAACAATTTTTCAGGCATCAGAAAGCATACACACACACACACACACACACACACACACATATATATATATAGAGAGAGAGAGAGAGAGAGAGAGAGATAGAGATAGATAGATAGATAGATAGATAGATAGATAGATAGATAGATAGATAGATAGATACTAAGTTAGCACTGTGCAAAGTGCATGGCTAAATGATTATACACTTGCCCACTTTCCTCAAACCACATCAGGTAATCTCATATAGATTTGTTTAGATTTGTTTATATGTTTTCTGGAACTTAATGAGAGGTCTGTAAAACAGTGGGCAAAAGTATCTCACTTAGCCAACACAATAGCAACTGCCAGCTGGAAGCCTGAATTATATCTGTGAAAAACGTGTAAATTAGAATTTTGGCCGAACTATTGCTTTAACACTCACGACACCTAAACTGATTTAACAGTGGCAAACATAATAATTAATCATCTCGAATTCACTCACACACCTGTTGTTTGCCCGTAAGGCCATAGCGTCCGATAATCTTTCTCATTTCTTCTTTCTCTTTGATCTCTGGGTAGCATTTCATCATATACTCAAGAGGCGACAGATCTAATTCCAGCTGTTCTGTCAGATGCTGCAGGACACAAACAATAGAAAACTTAATGACTCAGAAGTCAGAACATTTCAAGAAAACAATATTAGCGGAAACGTAGATATTACATTAAAGTCTTTGTGGAATATCTCAGCAAGCATTTCACAAACATATAAAATCTCAGTTATAAAAACACTCAGTGGTTTATTATATGGCTCACCTGGTGATACCTGCCAATCTTCACATGTGAATGCTTTCTGATCATACCGTCAGTTGGGAGGAGCTAGGAAAAAAGAGAAAGAAAAAGAACAAAAAGCCGAAAGAATGTAGGTTTAAGTATATTATATACACATGACAATCAACGTGAAGTAAATAAAACTGCCTAAATAACATTTATTTATTAATGAAATAATGTCACCCCTAACTGACCTCTCCCATCAGCAACTTCAGTAGTGTGGACTTCCCAGCTCCATTGGGCCCCACTAGAGCCACTCGTGTGTCCAGGTCAATGCCAAACTCCAAGTTCTTATAAATATATGGCTTTCACAAAAAAACAATGTAATGTAAGTTAGTTGTTATTACATGCGTGTATATACAAATAATGTATATACACGCATGCATGCACATAATAGCACTGTAAAAATATTAGCACCATGAAATATACAAACATATCAGGACTATAGCTCTGTGTACAGAAGCATATCAGTAGCAAAATTCAAATGAAAATGTAATATGTAAAATGGCAATGTATTTGCATGTTTGCACTTACATTTACCATGGAAAATGAACTACATATTTATGCTTAATATGATTATGTAATAATTGTGTCATTTTAATTTTCCTACTGATATACTTCTATAAATGTGTATCATAGTGGTTTATTGGACTGCTTTGTAATCATAAGTTATATGTTTAAAAAAAAATCTGAGTCGGTTAGTTAGCTGACAATTTTGTGCTGGGCTTCATACATACCGTGTCCTCAGAATATCTGAAACAAACATTCTGCACCATGATGACAGGAGGGGGGATGTTCCCACAGGGAGGAAAATAAAACGACAGAGTCTGGAAAAGGGAAGAACAGAAGCTCTGGATTAAAAAAAAAAAAAGCAATCTTATGACAAAAATACACAGAAAAAGCTATGAGTGTACTTAATCCACATGTGTATATCATTCCTACATCAATAAAATAAACAGTACTGTGCAAAAGTCAAACAGCTCCTTCACATGTAAAAGGAGATATATTTCAAGTTTATAAAAGAGGCCTTGTCTTACATTGGAGAACTAGATGGCCAAACATCCAGTTTTTTCCAATTCTTTTTCTAATGTGACAAAATAAACAGCACTGATCAAGACTTTCTGCCCTGACTTCAATGTAGTTACACAAAAAAAATGCTTAAGGCATCTATGGCAAAGTAATTTATCAAACATCGCTCTGTTTCAACATCACATATTGGGTAATGGCTACTGGTACACAAGATACGTGACAAGAAGTTCCACCATGACTAGAGTGAGTGACTGTCTGAATTTGTGCGTGCTAGACCTTATCGCTGACTACACGGGAAGTCAAGCCTGAGGCCACCATCTTCTGCAGCGTCTTCTCTTTGCTCTGAGCCTGGCGGGCAAGCTTAGCTGAACCGTGACCAAATCGAGCAATATAGTTCTATATGGAGAAAGAGAGACACAGAAAAAAGTTCATTTCACTGTTTAATAAAGAATGTGAGAATTATTGTTTGACATACTGGTCGCAATTAAAGTAAATATACTCCCGAAAACATAAATAAGAGATGAAATAGTATTATAAAGGGAAAGACACAATTGAAGGGATCCACTTAAAAATGCATTATAGGCCACTTTCAAAAATTGGTTTCGTCATATATGTTGTTTGGAGAAGGCTCACAGCTCATCCTACTAATCAGCTAATTTACAAGCCCTTCCTGAGCTGAAGTGGGTGTGCTAGATCAGGACCAGAATGTACACCAGGACCAGAGTCCTGTGATTTAGAGCAGGGGAGGCAAACTGCAGTCCTAGAGGGCCAGAGTTCAGCAACTCTCCTATTTAACACATTCAACTCGGCTAGGTAGAGTAGATGTGTTTAGAGCATTTGGGAAAATCACCAAACTGCTGGACACCAGCTTTCCAGGACCACAGTTCACCACCCCTGATTTAGAGTAAGACAGAGAAGACCACTATCAGAAAATCTTAAAGGAACAGAATGATCGGATCTTTTTTTACATTCACAGAGCACTATGAGGCAGTTCCAAGCATGTCCACCGGGTTGCAGTGTTTTACCTTCATGTGTGCTATCTGGTCCTGCTCCCAGTTGTAGCGTTTCATCTGGTTCTCCTCAAGCTCCTCCCTTGTCTTCACATACTGGTCATAATTACCCTTCAATCAAAAACAGACCCATCTGTCAGTGCACAGTAGACAGAAGAAGGCACAGTCCTTTCACTTTCTTTTTGTTACTTTAGTTTTAGGCAAAATGAATAGCGACAATCAAGCTGTTCCTATTTGAAATCACTGCACTTAATGATACAGTGCCCAACCTAGTGTGCTCTCCGAAATGATTAACAGAGAGCAGAGTATATAATGACTGCAGTCTTGTGACCTGAAATGATAATATAATATTGTTTGAAGAGTGCCCTGCGATGGACTGGCGACCTGTCCAGGGTGTATCCTGCCTTCCGTCCAATGACAGCTGGCATGGGCTCCAGCACCCCACCGCGACCCAGAAGGATAAGCGGTTGGAAGATGTATATATGTATGTATGTTTGAAGAGCAAAAAGCAGGACACAGGAAGCACAGGCTCTTTTAGGACTTTAATGTTGAGGGACACTGAGTGACATTGTTTCTCCAGACAGCACTAGTAAGTTAATACACTTGGAAATGCAAAATAATAAGGTTCTGGCTTCAAAGTTTCAGATTAGATTCACAGAAGCATCATGTTTCAGTCCTTCTAAACATAGACAAGAAGCCAGAAGAAAGTAAAAGAGAAATGATAAGATAATCCTACTGACTGAGGGGTGCTATTCTTGTGGAGACAAAAAATTAACACTGTGCAACAGAACTTTTCAACTACTTTTTTAACTTGTGGTAGTAAAACAGCTGTAAATGGTACTACTGCAAAGAGCACTATCCTCTCCTTCTCCAGGAGATCTTCTGCAGTGCAGAGTATCTCCAACACATATTAATCATATATGCAGCTCTAGTGTTGGGGGTAGGTTCTTCCTAAACATATTATTAAAATAATGGGATTCATTTCCTTGGATGACCAACAGTTCTCTTTGTGGCATATTCTGTAGCCTACATGCTGTAACATTTTTATGTAAACCGTTTCTATTTGTCAGTTTTTTTCAGTTTTCAGATTTGTTTTTTCAGGCCAAGAATTTTAATTCTGAAGCATCACTAATTCAGTTAATTAAATGCAGATACACTGTAAAAAATGATGCAAGGTTTTAGCTTAAAAAAGTAAGTAACCTGGTTGCCTTAAAATTTTGAGTTCATTGAACTTCTAATAGTAAGTTAACAGAACAATAATATGTGTTTTACATTCAAGTTCAAAGGAGAAGCTGAGCAGGTTAGTAGACCTTCAAGAGCGGTGTCTATATTCACTAGGGGTGGACATTATGCTGGCATTTATCGTTACAATCAATTACAAAAAAAACATTAACAAAATGATTCATTACAAAGATAATTAGTCCTGTTTAATTAGTATTACTGCAACACAACTAAATTCTATGAAATGTTGAAAGATGAGATCCCTGTTAAAGACCATTGTATTCATGTTTTTGATAGTATTTTTAAAAGTGGCACTTTTCTTACTGTTACTTTACAACCTCAGAAAAAAAATAATACTGCATTATAATAAGTGTTGAAGTATCATGATGTTATATGTTTGCCATATCCTCCACCCCTCATTCACCTTCTACAAGTGCATGTGAAATTACTCACAGTGTAGTATTTGAGTTTCCTGTGGTGCAGATGGATGATGTTGGTGCAAACGCCGTTCAAGAAGTCTTGGGAGTGCGAGATGAGTACAAGAATTCGCTTGAACCTAGCACGGAGGAAAAGGGCCATTAGAATAAAACACTGACAACAATGTTAACATACAGGCTACTGGCATTCAACCTTGAAGAAATGGCTCAACACAAATGTACACAATTTTTCCTTATCCCAAATGTAGCCAATCAGTGTCCAATTTCATAGATAACATTGCTGGGCCCCTAAAAACTTTTTTTTAAAATGGACCCCTCACCTCCACCTCAAAAAATACAGACTGAGATTTCCGCTCGCTCAGCAGGTAAGATTTAGCGAAACATCCTGGGCTGCTATTTACTTTTAAATGCGGCAGTAAAATCAATCCTTTTTTAGGATCGTAGGTGACACATATTGGATTCCTGTTAAAGTGCTCCCATTATTTCTTAGGCACCTGTACTTTTTATGTTTAAATGGCCACATGGAAAGCGTGACAAATGGCAAAGACTGTTCTCTGTGCTGGCACCCAGGTGGTGGAACGAACTTCCACTGGCTGTCCGTACAGCAGAGTCTCTCGCTGTCTTTAAACGCAGACTGAAGACACATCTGTTTATACAGCACTTAAATGAGCACTGAATTAAGTATTGATTGTAATGTACTGTACAGCACTTACATATTGTATTGTATTGCACTGTTCTGTGTTTAACTCTGTTCCTTTTTCTCTAGGTGTCAATGACTTTCTGATTCTAGCAGTATCTGAGCTCAGGACTGGCTTTCTCTCTAACCTATCGGTAACTAGCGAAGATACTTTCTCTGGATAGACAAAGCACTTTTTGTAAGTCACTCTGGATAAGAGCGTCTGCTAAATGATGTAAATGTAAATGTAAATGTAAATGTAAATGCAAAGCTTACGAATACTAAATCAAGAACCAATGTACTGAACAAATACTCAAATCATTCAAAAGAGAGTTTTTAATTTAGAGATGTAGTGAGTGGCAGAAATGCAGCACATACGATTTCAGCTCTTCTTCCAGCCACACACAGGCATCCAGGTCAAGGTGGTTGGTGGGCTCATCCAGCAGCAACATGAAGGGCTTAATAAACAGAGCTCTAAGAGTGTGGAGAACACAAAAAGACAAGGAGTGGGAAAGAAAAAGCAAAAGAGATAGAAGTAAATACCAGATACAAACTATGATAAATATGTGTGTTTAGGTGTTTTTAAAAGAGATAAATAAATGTCTTTTTCTTTCTCTCATACTTTTCCAAATCAATCACACACAATTTTTTCCCAAATTTTGATGATGTTTTACCTGGCCAGCGAGACGCGCATTCTCCAGCCACCACTGAAGTCTTTTAGCTTTTTGCGCTGCATGGCTGGAGTGAAGCCCAAACCGAACAGAATCCGCGAGGCTCGAACTTCAGCTTTGTCTGCGTCCAGTTCCTCCAAACGCTCATAAATCTCCATCAGTTTCTCACACTCTGCTACAGGAAGGAGAGGAGCACAGGATTCAATTTGTTTATTAGGTTTATTTTTTTCCATACTCTGCTGTAAACAACAACCCTAATTCCAAAAAAGTTGTGACGCTGTGTAAAATGTAAATAAATGTAAATAAAAACAGAACGCAATGATCAGCAAATCTCATAGACCCATATTTTATTTACAGTAGAACACAGAACACAGATCAGATGTTGAAAGTGAGTTTCATTTCATGAAAAATATTAACTTGTTTTGGCAGCAACGCATCTCAAAAAAGTTGGGACAGGGCCATGTCTACTATTGTGTAGCATCCCCTCTTCTTTTAACAACAGACTGTAAACCTCAGGGAAGTGAGGAGACCAATTGCTGAATTTTGGGACAGGAATGTTGTCCCATTCTTGTCTTGTAGGATTCTAGCTGCTCAACAGTCCTGGGTATTCTTTGCTGGATTTTTTTTTCGTTTCCTGATGCTTCAAATGCTCTTCCTCTGCAAAGCCATGCTGTATTGATGGATGCAGTATGTGGTTTAGCATTGTCTTGCTGAAATATACAAGGCCTTCCCTGAAAGAGACGCTGTCTGGATGGGAGCATATGTTGTTCTAAAACCTCTGTATACTGTTCAACATTGATAGAGCCTTTCCAGATGTGTAAGCTGCCCAAGCCATAGGCACTAATGCAACCCCAGACCATCAGAGATGCAGGCTTTTAAACTGTGCGCTGATAACAAGCTGGATGGTCCTTCTCCTCTTGAGTCCACAGGACATGGCATCTGTGGTTTCCAGAAAGAATTTAAAATTTTGATTCATCTGACTACAGAAGTTTTCCATTTTGCCTCAGTCCATTTCCTCAGTCCAGAAGACGGCAGTGTTCCAGCACTTTAACTTGCATTTCTGGATTGCACGGCGAACTGTGTTCAAGACAATTATTTCTGGAAGTGTTCCTGAGCCCATGCAATGATTTCCAGTACAGAACCATGCATGTCTTCAATGCAGTGCCGCCTGAGGGCCCGAAGATCACGAGCATCCAATATTGACCGTCGGCTTTGTCCTTTGCGTACAGGGATTTCTCCAGGTTCTCTGAATCTTTTGATGATATTATGTACTGTAGATGGTGGGATATCCAGAGTCTTCGCAATTTTAAGTTGAGGAACATTTTTCTGAAATTGTTTTTTGCAGACTGGTGAACCTCTACCGATCTTTGCTTCTGAGAGACTCTGCCTCTCTAAAATACTCTTTTTATACCCAGTCATGTGAGTTAGGTGCAAATTTCTCCTCCAGCTGTGTTTTTTATTAGTAACACTTACTTTTCCAGCCTTTTGTTGCCCCTGTCCCAACTTTTTTGAGATATGTTGCTGCCATCAAGTTCTAAATGAGTTAATATTTTTCATGAAATGGTAAAATGTCTCACTTTCAATGCAAATCATTGCATTATGGTTTTATTTAAATTTATTTATTTCCACAGGGTCCAAACTTTTTTGGAAATATCAGCAAATCTGCATGACCTAGAAGCAATTTGAGCGGGTTGAGAGAAGTTTTTGGGGATGCATTTTTACAGAATAAATATGGGGCCATCCAAATGACTACTCAGTTCTAGTATTTGTTAGCGACATTAGCCTCATAGCTTCAGTTTTATACTAAAAAAGCAAAATCTGGACTCCCAATATGCCTTGGTTGATTGACTACACTGTGTTCTGTGATATGTTCTGTGGATATGATGAACCATAAAAACACTCTGGTTACATATCACTATAGCACTTTGTTAATTTTTTCTATTTGCAGCCAAAAATTGCATCTTATTTTGTTCCAGTTTTGACCAAATCTGATTGAATGTGTAACTCACAGTCCTCGTGGGCTAGTCTCTCTGCTTCCTTCTCCAGTTCGATCCTCTTCTCGTCAACCTCCATGACACACTGCAATGCTGTCTTCTCACTGGGAGCCATCTCACGTGTCAGATGATAGATGTCTATGTGCTCTGGGATGGGAACCTCTCGATGGGCAATAGCAGACAGGAGCATGGATTTTCCTGCCAAAATTGTCATAAAGAGACTGATAAATGTTGTCCATAGCTATCAAACTGCTGTCAATCCCTTTAGCTCAAAAGTCTATTGTTTTAAGCATCAGGTTGTCAGGAGCACAATACATCATAAAGATCTTTATTACCTAATTTACAGTAGCCTTATTGAGGCAGCAGGGTCTGTTAGTATTTTCAGCCTAATCTCTATTTGTAGTGTGTGGTCAATTACCATGGACAATAATTCCAGTAAGTTTCTCTGTACTTTTCCATGAAGAAAGATAAGTGAATCAAAATGTGCGCACGAATGTATGAAAAACACTGGCCTGGTGCTGAATTCCATCAGCAAAAAATTATATGAGACATTTATTTTTGTAGAACACATTCATGAATCCTTCACTCAAAGGCCTTTGTACATTAAAGGACTCATATCCTACTTTTTCTTGCATTTTATTTCCACTTATGACATTTGTGTGGGTTTATGTACCAACAATAGTCATAATTCATTTTACAATCTTCTAAGGCTGTTTAATTCTAAAATTTAAAAGGCTTTTGTTACTAGGTTTTTAAGACTGATACAGGTAAATGAGCTCTGTTTTGACAGGCTGCCCTGTATTGTGCCTCTTTTAATGGGGCTAAATTGCTGTATAGACTGAATAGGAGGATATAGGTAAATTAGTTTCACAGAAACAAGGAATTCAAAACTGACTGTTTTTGCAGCACAATGTTTACATATTATTTCAAACTCCTTTATTCCAGAGCAAGAGAAATTCAGTTTTCCATGATATGGGCCCTTTAAGCTGTAAATCTGTATTATTTATATAAACTTTATTTATAATTTATGAAACTATTGTCTGTGGTAACTGATGGTATGACACAGTTGTGGCTGACAGAGATTTGGTAGTAAAATGGAAAATTCTTTTAACATACTCAGACTATGGCGCTTGCAAATTTTATCTAGTTTCAGTATCTACTACAACAGTATAAGGCACAGTGGCTGCCATACCTGTGCCATTGAGGCCAATAAGACCGTAGCGTCTGCCCGAGTTTAACTCCAGGCTTGTGTCACTCAGCAGCTCCTGGCCATGGAACGTAAGTGAAAGACTGCTGATGTGAACATCTGTACTGTTTGGGTGGGATGCCAAGACGCCTGTGACTGCTCGAGCTTCCATCTTACGCAACTCAAACTCATCCAGCTCTTTAGCCAAGGCAGTAACATCTGCAGAGAGTGCAACAAGAAGAGGGATGGATAAGAGAGAAAAGAACAAACAGATGCAAACAGTAGTACCCTGTAAAACATCCACAAAATGGTTCAACTGCATGGCAGAGATAGTAAATAGTAAGTATCACTGAACCATTATGATCAATTCCAGAGCCCAGAATTGGAGGTATATCTGGAGAATTTCTTTTTGAAGGATAAAGATTTTGCATTCCAAGAAGGGCTGGACCAGGAGAGGGATCTTCTTTGGATCCTACTCCTTATTTGGTACTTGATATAAATATATCATTTGGCGTTTCTGTTATTTTTTCCACCCCCTGTAGCTTAGAATAACAACGTCTCCAAGGTGTATGAATAGCCCACTAACTTCCAGTCATCTTGCATGCGATAAGAAATGAGAGTACACAGCAAAATCATTAACATTACCTTTTTAGGGAGAAAACTCATCTCAAGTGTAGTTACTGTGTAGTTACACTATTAAGTTTTGCATTAATGAAGCTGCTGTGTCTTTCACTGTTAGTATTTTTATCCGAGTTTGAGTAGATGAACAAAACACACCTTCGTTTGCTTCCCCATTTGGAACCACTCCGTTTTCCTCTGGTTGCTCTGCCTCCACGCTCAGCTCCTCATGCTTTTTGACACGCTGACGAGCTTTGGCTGCCTCCTTCTTCTTTGCGGCCTTCTTCTTAGCAAGGTCTGAGGGCATGGCCACAGAGCACAGCAACCTAGGGGAAGGGCTACACAGTATACTGTGTGTTAACCGTTATCATTATAACTGCAAAGGTCACAGTAATTGTCGTAATTTTAGCAGTGGTCTGCATTCTTACATACAAATACAATACTCAGCAAAATGAGCAGGATCTCAGATATTCCTGTTGCTCTACTGTTAACAGAGGAAAGCTTGCTTATCATTTAGCAAACTGAAACTTTGCCAAGATGTGGCAATAAACCAGGGGTGAAAATACTGGATCAAATCGTACCAGTCCTTCCACAAAGGTTCATTAGCACAGTCAACAGTTCAAGTTTACACTGATATGAATTGTTAAAAAAATAAATAAACTATGAGGCAACCACATATGTGGGCAAAAAAAAAAGAATCATGGTCTTTGAAATTTGTAACACGTACTCTGAAGGACTAAATGAAAATGTGAAATGAAAAAAGTGCAGCTTTGAATTTACTTGATTCAAATGTGTACATCAGTTCCACATGAATAAAACGCATATCAGTACCATTCTTGCCAAACGTAAGTAAAATAAATGACAGTAATTGTGTTGATTTTACCTATTTCATTTGTGTGGGACCACATTTGAATCAAGTAAATTCAAAGCAATAATTTTAATTGTTGTATAATGTTTTTTTATGTACAATAATAACAAAATGTAGATTTAAACATTACAGACTATTTTGAAATTTGATTCAATATTTCATGATTGTGTTGAACAAGAAGTGAATACACTGATAAATAATGTACTGTAATTATCTATACATTCATTTGTAATCTGCCTTGAGATTTTAAAATATGCTGCTACTTTTAAAATATGATGAATTCTGGATAACTTTATTAAAAATGATCAGTGATGTACAGCCTTTTCAGTCATTTTACAATCTTCTACAGCTCCTCAAAAATGATCTTATTCTTATGCACAACTTCCTAGTGTCCTAATAATTATGTAAAACCTGTCAAATTGTATGGACTAGTTTATTAGCATCACCTTATACGCCAATCTGCAGCCACACTGGATTTCATAGTGAAAACACTGATTCCAAACTTTCCAAACTGTCTGTTTTATAACAGTTTAACAGCTCGCTGATACTGACGAAAGGAATGTGTTAGCTGTCAGTTGTCATCTTCAAGTTTATTTCTGTATTAACAGAGGTAATTTAGGACGGAGGGAAACCCTTGAGCAGAGCAGTTTGTACGGAGAGAGGCTTCTCTGTGGCGCAGCAGTCTGACATGTAGGTTACCGTGAGCAGCCTGAAACGGGCCTACTGCAGCTACACTTACACTCAACACGGGCAGCTAACGGTCTTAGCCACCACTCATTAACTACAGCAGCTCGTTTTACCCTTTGTGGAGACATGACACCGACCCTTATGGGTCGTTTTATAACATTTATTTCTAGAAAATCTGTCTGAAACAATAAGTTACTGCAGAATGTAAGTTATTTAGCCAGCTATCTGCGGCATGTCTGTACCGGCGCTTTGGCTAACCGGCCGACATGCTAACGTTAGCTTAGCTAACCGGCCTACGGATATTAGGACTTTATTACGAAGAACAGTGAATTTAGTTTTCAAACAACACTACAGACAAGACGGGGTTAGAGTCACAGCTAAGTTAACGTGCATAAAATAAGATTATAAACAGAAAACCCAGTATGTTTTCTTACCCCCTCACACTATTACCATCAGCAGCGGCAGCATGTGAGAACCAGCTGACAGCAGAGACAGCAGAGAGAGAGAGAGAGAGAGAAATACAAAAAGAGACTAACGCGGACACGTGAAGCGTGAAACACTTAAGCTAGTGCTGTCAACTGGTGAGTTTATAAAGTAAGTCATAAGCATAGAGACCCGGCTCTACTTACCTTGTTGAGCGATAACTGATGTGAGTGACAGTTTATAAAGCTGTTACAGAGACCCAGCTCTACTTTCCTTAATTGACTCTGAATGTGGTAGTCCGCGCCCGTGTTAAAGAACCCGGCTCTATTCTCCTTACTTGGCCACTGTTGGAGCCCCGCGTTTGGGTCTGGGCAGAGAGAATAGAGACCACGCCCACCCATGGGCGGGACCGATTCCTCCATGCGACAGCCACGCAACTGTAATGCTGCTGAACTAAATCACAATAATACAACACCAGTCTGTCAGGTTTATTCAGTCACTTTATCCTGTCACTTAAAGAGGTACTCCACCGATTTTCCCAAATTTCTGCGTAATAAATGTTTAACATGTGAGCAAAGTCATTCAGAGTGGTTTGATTTGAGATGCTCTGTTATAGAGAAACTTAAAGAGTCAGAAATGTTCACAGTGGTGGTGATAGGAACCAGACGTCCACCTCTAAAAGCTTCCTCACAGAAAGTTTTTACATGAAATGGTTATGAGTACACTGCCTGATGCCTGATGTAGTTTTGTGATAAAGCTTTTGGTCTAAAACATATTTTAATGGTGGAAAGATACAAGAAGAGTATTCTAAGGCAAAGTAGTCCCCAAGGAAAACTTATTTTTTCAGCTTTTCCACTATTTTACCATCATCAACATTACATATAAAAACTCAGAAGACTCTGGTGGTTTTGGATAAATAAATAAAATCGCTATATTTGTGATCCCTGGTTCCCATCACCACCACTGTAAAGAAATTAGAGCCTTTACAAATGAACCATTTCGTATCAAACTACTCTGAGTGACACTGTGTGCATATGAAACACAGAATTATGCAGAAATTAAAAATTAGTGGAGCTCCCCTTTAAGTATGTTATTTAATTTGGATGGATCGTCCTTTTCACATACGAATATTTCCACAGGTGGGTAAAGTCGTCTCAACCCACATTCAGAAGAACTGTTACTTCTGTGAAACCTTTAGAACTACAGGGGAACTCCATCGTCTATCAGTAGAGGAACTGAAGTTTGCTAGGTGTAGTTCTTCTTTTTGATGCACTCTTGGTCTGAAATAAAATGATAAACTTCTAAGTGTGACTAATCACAACACAGTACAGATGCTGCCACCAACATAACACAATGAAATCAAACACAAAAATGAATAAGTAACTAAATGTTAATGACTAAAATGTAACTGAGTAAATACACATTCATTTCCTCACTAACATACATTCTTAAAAAATGTATTTTATTGCAGACCTGCAGTACATTTGTGTGACCTTAAGATGTAAACATTCAGAGTGGTTTGCTCTGTTTCAGGAAAAAATTACTGAGTCAGAATTGTTCACAGTGGTGGTGATAGGAACCAGACATCCTAAGAGTTTTCCTCTAAAAGCGAGCACACAGAAAGTTATTACAAAAGTTTAAAAGTTTACAAACACGCTGCCTGATGCCTGAGTGGTTGCTCTACAATAATTTTGAGATAAAGGCTTGGCAGCAAACTATTTTTAATTCGTTCATGAAAGGTACATGCGGTCTGTTGTATGACATGGAGTACCAAAAGAAAACCTCTCATTATGTATAAAAACATAGGAAACACATGTAGATTCATAGATTCACTAGTTGTTTTGGTTATGAATGGTAATAAAATGGTTATATATTTGTGTTGTGATCATCGCTAGCCCTGGTTCCTATCAACACCACTGTAAAGAAATCTGAGTTGATAACTTTCTCCACAAAGGCACCATTTCACATCAAACCTCTTTAACTTTGCTTAAATCTCAACCACTGAATTATGTAGAAATTCCACTTTAAAGGGTAGTTCTAAAATTTCTCAAATTTTATACATAAATTAATCTTTAAGATGTAAACAACATCTGACTGTTTTGAAGTGAAATGGTGCATTTGTAGTGAAACCTATCGACTCAGATGTCTTTACAGAGGTGGTGGTAGGAACCAGGGGTCATGGTGTTCACAGTGTAAATATATACATGTTATTCAGACAAATTATCCAAAATGACAACTAACCTATATTTATATGGAACGTTGATAATAGTAAAATAGTTTGGAATAAAAAACAAATTAAAAAGTGTATGGGTATTATTTCCCATTTACATTTATTTTACAGTTTAGAAAACAAATTTATCACAAAACTATCATAAAACCATGTCTCAGGCATCAGGCAGCATATCTATAACAATTTTGTGCAATACATTTCTGTGAGGCAGCATTAAACACTTCAGACGTCTGGACCCTCTCACCACCACTATGAACAAGCTCAGTAAGTTCTCTTTACAGCAGATCATTTAACACCAAACCACTCTAAATGACTTTGTTTACATCTTAACCACTGTATTCTGCAGACGTTTTTAAAAAATGGGGGAATTCCCCTTTAAGACGCTGACGGTGTGGAACGTTGTGTGTGTGTTTTTTGTTTCCCGTGGTGTCCTGTTACTGAACCCGCCGTGTGGATGTGTCCGGCCTGTTTCTCTCCGAGATGTGAGCGATGTGGTGGTCGAGGCTGGAGCGCTAACACCAGTCCATTTTTAAATAAAGAGTCCAGTTTTACTCGCAGGAAAAGACGAACTTTACTACCGAAGGACAAAACGAGCACTTCTCCTCCGCGCGAGAGAAACAAACGACCGTTTAACGGTCGCGGTTTGAGTAACGTTTCAGGACGAAGCGCAGGACTGATGAGCTGGAGGAGCTGAGAGAAGAGCAGGGAAGAAAAGAGGAGACCACGTCGAGAAAGATTACAGAAGAGGAGAGAGGAGTCAGCTCAGATTAACGTACATTTTTCGATTCTGTGTGTTTTATTTCCTCGGAGACTGGATGGAGGATGTCCGTTTGATAAAGAAAAACAGAAGTCTGAAGTATCTGAACTAGCGAAGGAGAAATCCGAAATGCTGGTAAAATGTGTGCTTTAATGTTGGCGACATGAACTAAGAGACTCAGTTTGGTGCGAGAATGAATGCTAGTTTAAGAAATATAAGACATTTTTCTTGTCGAAGTAGCTAGCTAGTTCCGTGTATGACTTTCTTACAGCAGGAAGAACTGAGAGCTGCATTGTACACTTAGAGACTGAAAGATCTTTTAAACGATGGGATGCAATATTTTACTTATTAAGTGTTAAGAAATGTCGTATCGTTTTGTTTTACCTTATGCTCGTAACTTAAGTGTCTGTTCTTAAGAGAAAATGCTCACAGCCTTGCATCCCATAGAGCATTTCGGTCAGTAGATGACCACAGTGACTTACAACATCCCTGAGAGGATTTCATAACTTCCTGAAGTTACAATTTACACTGTTTGCAAAGCAAACGTTTCACAGCACTGTGACTTGAGTCAAGGCTGCTCAAGGTTGTTTTTGCCATCCAGAGGCTTGGAGGACACTGATCCATCTGTTTCATCATGCGCCTCTCCTCTTTTCTGGCTGTTTTCCGCCCTGCCCTGCCTCTCATCCTGGGCCTTTCTTTGGGCTGTAGCCTCAGTCTGCTCATGGTGTCATGGACACAGGGAGACACTGAGGAGGGCTGCAGTAATGAACTGGTGAACGGTGGTCTTCTTCAGGGCAGTCATGTTGGGGAGCACCAGGGAGCCAATGGAGGGGATGGGAATGAAGACTTCCAGCCACGTATTGTACCCTATCACAAAGATCCCAGCAAGCCACATAAGAAAGTTCTCAGGTAAGTAAAGTTGGCTGATATCACAGTTCTTTTATGATATGGGTCCACTCTAGTACCCCAGGGTGTGGTGTTATTGAGGCAGGGCTGTGAAGTGAATTGTACAGTACCAGTCAAAAATATGGACACCCGTATGTCCATACAGACCCTACAGACATTTTATCTAAAGAGTTATGCTTTAATCTATTTTTAAGACAAATATAAATAAATCAAAACACCCCAAAAAATATTTTTCAGCAGCCAACAAGTGTTCAGCATATGTGGAGCTTCTTTAAGTCTGTTAAAAAATCATCCCAGGTGAGGCTGCTTGAAAGAATGCCAAGAGTGTTCAAAGCCCAGGGCAAAGGGAGTCGACTTTGAAGAATCTAAAGTATGAGAGTTATGATTTAACACTTTTTGATGGATACTGTATACTTCCATATGTTTTTCAAAGCTTTCATGTTTTCACCATTATTATAAAAATAAGCACTTCTGTAACTAGATGTGTCCACATTACTGACTGGTACATTATGGTAAATAACATCTGAAACTTCCAGTGTAATATTAGGGGTGAGTAATATGAGAATATTTCATTGTTATTGTGATAAATTGTGTCAAATATGCTTTTCTGAGTATATCACGGAAAATGTCAGAAGAACGCTGACTAACTACGTTTCATTGCACGGTGAGCATAATTAGGCCTGTTTAACTGTATTTAGTGCAATGCAGTTTGTAAAACATAGAATAAACATTATTGCAGTTGTAGGAGTATTATTATTGTTATGATTACATTTTATATGTAGTGCTACAGGTTCTATATTGCAACTTATTAAATCTCACAAAAACCAAATATCTTGATATTGTGCATCATATTGTGACATAATATTTTTGCTGTATCACCCACCCATATGTGTAAGTGTCATTAATGGTACATCATCTTAAATCTGAGTGAAAAAAAGATAGGTTTGTTGCCTAAAAGGTGTGCAGTATCACAGAAACATTTTATTGCATGATTAATGGCAGCCTAGCATGCCTGCAACCAGTGTGGAAAATTCATGCCCTGCTGTGAATTCCATTCCCTGATATACAGTATTTCCTGTATCCTGCCAAAAAGACCTTTAATGATAGATTATGTTAAGACCTCTGACTTTAAACAAGTCATCCGTTGAGAGGGATAGTCTCATATTTCATCGACTGCTGAGTTGTTGAAACACATCTTTGGTATGTCACAGGCAATATGACAAAGGGAAAATGTGATAATATTCCACTGTATTTGGCAAAGTATGATGGTGATCATGACCAATTGTGGAAAAGCCATTAATCTTAGCTGTTGTTGCTGTTAATCTCAGCTGTTATTTTGTCATGTTTGCTTTATTACATATAGTTTTGTCCAAATGGCCAATTAATGAATGAATAACCAGTTTTGTAGATTGTTTTCTTGTTTACACAATTTCAGAGGAGCAATGATATCTAAGTAGAGACGAAGTGTTAAGCTCAGGTGTGAAGTTTGCTTCTATCTTCCCCCACAGCCAAATACTTCAGTAATTTTGTGAATGTCTGTTTTATTCTCGCACGTTACTGAGGATTCATTTTTCTGCATAATACATATGGGGTTGACTTTTACATTTAAATTTGCCTGCCTTTTAAAACCCATTAAACATACTTTTATGCCTGCAGACAGTTCACTTCAGTTCATTTAATGAAAGAAGCTTTGATTAATCTGTAGTTAAGCAGTTCTTAGCAGTAGGTCTCTGCTGATGTTTTCCTTGTATGCATTAGGCTTGAACCTCTGTCTTATCGTTTTTGTGCTTCAGACACAAAGATCCTGTGGATCAAAGACCATAGAAAGGCATAACATAAATAAAAGTGTGCATAAATATTTAATAGAGAATAGAGACTACATTTAGCAGAAGAGTTTTCAGCTTGTCTTGATTTAAAAGAATGAACTCAATCTTGTTTTGTCTGTATCAAAGCTTCTTTATTAACTTAAGCTGATTACTGTCTAGTACGAGTTTAATTGTCGTGGTGTCTGCTCTTCTCTCTAATCTGCTCTGGTAGAGGTTAAGTGTCAATATATTGAATATAACGTCCCACCTTTGCAGAGTAATTATCTAAATGAACCACAGCTCTTGCGATTACTGTGATTGCTATTCATCTTTTCCTGCAGATGCTTAGTGAGATATTGGTTAGAACTTTAAACACGCCCTCAGCAATCTGTCCCTGTTACAGTCGTAAAGGGGGCTGGAAGCTTTCCCTGTCCTGTTCGTAAAATGTGTAAACAAGAATAAATTGCAGTGTTGTGCTGGCACTCAAGTAGTGTAACATATGGGGCTAGAAGACAGCGTGAAAGAACCATAATAGGGGCTTCTCCAATAATCGCATAATGCAGAGGGGTCAGGTAATAAGCAGGTAATTACAGGTTAATCCATAATCACAGTTATAAACAGACAGCAAAGGTCAAAAATGAGAGTAACTAGAATGGGGAAGCAAGAAAACTGGTGAACAACTCAGAAACAGCTGGGACAGGATCATATGCTCAGAAACTACAAAAATGAATCTACAAGACAGTAACCTACACCTGCGAGAGTGGAATGCATGCATACGTGCAGGAGTTAAAACCTAAAAGCACAGAACAAGTGATATTTATACAAACAGGGATTGACAAGACAAAGGTGCATACAGTATCCACAGGGTGGAACTAGAGTGGACGCTAGACTTAGGATGTTGTGTGCAATATACCATTGTCTGATCGCGACCCTAGCTATTACCAGTTAAAGGTGGCGTCTTCTATCGTGTGGGGGGCCTTCCTGTGCTATCAGCACATCACCTGACTGCAGTAACAGTACACACAGAACAAAGGAGCTGTAAATACAGACTACAGGCTGCTCCTTACACTTACGGCACCTTTCTCCAATAACCGGTTTCAGCACAGCTAGTTAAGCATGACTGTTCAAACCAGCACTTGCTTTCTGGTCAGAAAGGTTAAAGCTTAACCTAGAGATGTACCCTAAAGGTCACTGTTACTGTAGCTGTGATTTATCTTTTTTGCCTTTGATATCTGATGTATTTACAGTATAAAAATCTTTTAAGCCTCCTTTCCTGTCTGGTGAGGGAAGCCATTCTGTGTGTGGAAGGCTGCAGCACGGCTTTATCGGTTTAACGAACGTGTCAATGGGTGGGAGAAAAAAGATCTACCTCACGCTGCTACAGAATGTTCTGATGCTAGTCAACATGTCAGAGGTGTTACAGGACACGGGCAAACAAAACTGATCATGTGACATAGTTACTTTTGTGCATTTTAAACCCACAGTTGGTGTGTTTTCAGACATATAAATGTTAAAACTGTTGTCTGTTGGCTCAAGCCTGGTGGACATGCGCACAGCAGGGTTTCCTGTGATTCAGAGGAAGTACATGTTAACCTTCTCAGTTTGGTAGCAGTGTGTGATGGAGGCAGTCCTGGCTATTAGCAGTGACTAAACTGAGAGGAAAATATAAAAAGCTGTGGATTCTCTGACAGGTTGGATTAACCTTTTCCCATCTCTTCCTTTCCCCCCCCGTGCAGGACGCGTTATATCCACACAGAGCTTGGCATTCGAGAGCGTCTTTTGGTGGGCATCCTGAGTTCGCGCACCACCCTGAACACAATGGGTGTAGCAGTCAACCGCACAGTGGCTCACCGCTTCCACCGAACCTTCTTCTTCACCGGCCTCCGAAGCACTAAGATACCTCATGGTATGACTGTTGTCGCTCACGGTGACGACCGACCCGTGTGGCTGATGTATGAGACGATACGTCACCTACATCAGCACCATGGCAATGAATACGACTGGTTCTACCTGGCGCAAGACGACACGTACACGCAGGCGGAGCGGGTGATGGATCTCGTGGGGCATTTGAGTGCAGGGCAGGATCTTTATATGGGGCGTGCAGAGGAGTTTATTGGTGGCGAGGAGCGTGCTCGTTACTGTCACGGTGGATACGGCTATCTGCTGTCACGCAGCCTTCTGGCGCGACTGCAGCCCCACCTGGACTCCTGCCGCAACGACATCCTAAGCGTAAGGCCCGATGAGTGGCTTGGCCGCTGCATCATTGACTACCTGGGTTTGAGCTGTGTGGAGAAGCATCAGGTAAGGCAGAACAGTTGACAGATATGCACTAGACTAGGTGTAGTCTTATAGGATTTATATTCTACATTTGTCTTGTATTTTATTCCACTTAGGGCCTGGATTTATGAAACAAAAACTGTCATTCATTTTCCAAACTGTTTTCATCCATAGAATTATATAGGCTGCTTTTGTTGCTACTGTGCCTTTAAGACTGATATATGTAAATAATCTGTGCTTTGAAACTTTAACAATGTTTACATACTACATCAAAGTCTTTTATTTAAAAAAAGTGAAGAAAATTGCTTTTACATGAAAAGGAATCCCTTAAATTTCCATTAGGGTGATGAAAAAATCCATAGAAGTCTTCAGTTACTACTTAGTTACAATATATTATTACTGTTTAAATGTAATTTAATTACATAAATAGTAATATAGGCTAGTCTGCACTTCTTACATTTTTTTATTTTATTTGATGTTTTTTTTTCTTCCACAAAGCCATTTGTACAACAAAAACTATCAAATCAAATTTGTATCATAATCAAATATTTCCTCTTCTAACATTTTGAATACACGTTTTACATGTTTTCAGTTTTAGTGCTAGTATCAATGAGCTGAGAGTGAGAAATAACTAATATAAAATTAGAGCATGCTTTTGTTATCTCTGCTGATAAGTGTAACTTTTAAGAATTAACATTTAATAAATTGCCATAAATTACCTGACCAGAAAGTCTCCAGTAAACCCATCATCTATTGTGACGTTGTTCCTCATTTCCTCAGACTTTGTATGAAACTAATACTCAGACTTTGTATGTAAGCTATTTCAAATGGCTGTTGTGCAATTTAGCGGTTAGAACAGCAGGATTAGCCATGAACCTGCAGCTGTGCTCCTAACAGTCCAGTGTGTCCCTGTGGTGTTATGTCGTCACTTTAACTTGGATAGCATCATTGATAATGATGAGCAGTAAAGCTGTCCAAATTGCTGTCTAACACAAGCCAATCAGAGAAACTTTAATACAGAATTAATGCTTGTCTAAATGGGATTCACATGTTTGGCTTCATGTAGCGGCAGGGCTTTTTTTTATAAGGCTGATAACTCTTTTCACATTGAGTCGTTTAAACCAGGATCAGATGGAGTCTGTTTTGCATTGTTACATTACAGCTAGGCCTATTTGATTATTTCTCATTATTATTACAACAGTGTAATTTTAAATTCATACTGCAAATGAAACAATATTGTACTTACTTTCCTATCACATGCATTTTGTTCTTTAGGAAATGACATACCGTTACTTTGAGCTACAGAAGAACGCAGACCCTGAGCGTGAAGACAGCTCCCAATTCAAGAACGCTTTCACTGTGCACCCTGTCTCAGAGCCAACGCTCATGTACCGCCTGCACAAACGCTACAGCCAGATTGAACTGGACTGGACTTATGCTCAAATACAGCAGCTGCAGGTGCGTATGTAGCCTAATTACTGTAGTAAACTGTCCTTTGTTTCACAAATCTCTTGCATATAATAATAGGCAGTATAAACTGATTAATAGCAATAATATGTTCATGCTAGATTTTGCTTTTTGGCGCAGTGTTTGATTTCAGAATATAATAGCATGCAGTAATACAGTGACGTCCAGCGATTTACAGTGAAATCTGACCATGCTGAAGATCTGGATTTTTTCATTTTTTCAACTTGGAAATAAACAACAGAAACTTTTAAATTTTGAAAAAATGAAAACAAAGAGAAGTTATGATGAGTAAAATGCAGAAGAAATACCTAAAATTCTATATTATTTCTAGGTCACGTTCAAATTTAAGCACATTTGTGATATTGTAAAGGCTTTTGTACAAAAAGGTTAGATTTTTTAACGTCTTATTTGTTTTATTGAAACTCTTGTTCAGACGACTTGCAGGTGGATTTTATTTGCTTGTCAGAGGTTTTTATACAAACTTCTGAAGTTCATGTCTCGAGTGCACGCTGACATTTAAGCAAAGGGGGACATACAGTACCACATACTAAGAAATTCTGTTATTTATATATATATATATATATATATATATATATATATATATATATATATATATATATATAAAAATATATATATAATATATATAATATATAAGTAAATAACATATATTAAGTTATATTTCAAAGATTGTACTTTTCATTTAGTATGTTAAATTGCTAATATAATTTGTAGTGAAAGACATTATTAGTTAAATTAGAAAAGAAAGCAAAGTAGAAGCATTTTCACTTGTGGTCTCAGGCTTTTGGACCATATGTTAGTGTGTGCTTTAAATTATATCGTCACTGTTGAACAAAAACCTTGTATCTCCAAAATGGTAACTTTACAGAAGGAGAAACATTTTTTTCTTAACTTTCAATGTAAGTTAATGTACAGAGATTTTGATCCAAGCAGTTTTTGAACAGTTTCTTTTAGTTTGGTCATCATGAGGTTTTCATAGAATTTAAAGGACAGCTGGTATTTTCAAATTATGCTCAAAACTAAAATATATAAGGTACCTGAAACTTGTTTTTTGGTTGAAGACTGTATGCCACAGTGTCTGTTTACAAGGAGGCTATCATATTGTATCATGTTATAAACATCAAAATGGATATTAGATATAGGGAATAAATCTTATGTTGGACGAATGTATGGGATTTTTTCTTGTCCAGGCTTCCACAGAAAAATATTCACATAGATATCTGGTATTTTAGCCTTAAGCTCTTTTTCCCCCCTGCATGTTTTGTCTAGCCTAGATGACAGTTTGAGTGTACTTAGCGTCTGAGCAATTTGTCAGTAGTTCATTTTTCTCACAGGTCACTACTGCTGTTTTTTTTTGTTTTTTTTTGAAAGTAATGAAAAGGCCCCAATAATATTAACCTTCCACATGTAAAATCAGCTTCCTGTCAAACATAAAAACCATGCTAATGACCAGACTAAATAATGTGTGGTGAAACTGTAGTCATTAGGAAAGAGTACTAAATAGTTTTCTCCCACTTTATTACGACGCTGCTGATTTATTGAAAGGCAAGCAGAAAGGCATTACTGTGATGGGTAATGAAAGGCTGGCTCATAGATGTTTGTTCCACTGGGAAATTCAGTCTAATATTCCACTGCTGGATTACCAAGCTAGCTGTGGAGGCTCGCCTTGCAGACTGAGCAAACAGTTCACAGGGGTGGCTGAAGATCAGGGTGAACAGGGTGCCTGCAGAGGAGAAGGAATTTAATAGTTGACCCACTGTCAGAGTGAACTAGAGTAAACTTACTTGCTGTAAATTAGGATTCACTTCCTCTACTATCTGTTGTTGTGGTGGATAAAGTGTTGGGCACTTTATCTGTCCATGCTCTTTCCATAAATGTGTTCCTTAGGTAGCAACTGTTAGGAGCTTTACAGCATTTTCCATTCAACCGAATGAATTTAGGTTGGCATTTAGAGTCGCAACACAATATTCCCAGAGTTCCCAGATTTAAATGTTATGGTTCTGAGCTGGACTGTGTTGTTTACAGTGTGACAGTGTGCCTTTTCACATGCATTCAAAACAAATATCAGTTAATAGTGCACTCTAAATTTCATTGAATATGATTTACGTTTATGTAATGCATGTACATCAGAGCAGTTGCTATGAAAGAATGCATTTGTGTGCAGAGCATGGATAGAGCAATTTAATTTCTTAATTTCTATTCATATCTGAATAAAATTAATCATTTTGCATTGATTAGACGATTGGAACATTACATAAAACATTAGTGATGCACTAAAAATTCCTGGCCGAAATCAAAATTTAAGACACACCTAGCCAAAAACTGAAGCCAAGAACGGAAAGAACATTTTCTTTGTTTATCTTAACATTTCCTGTTCTATTTAGGCATTTGCATAAATATATTAATGACAACTACAAGTTAACAAAGAAAGTAAAGAAAACTTTTATTATTGACAAAGTCTATTTTCAATAAGACAAAACTAAGTTGACAACAAATAAAAAGTTTGCATTAAATAAAAATGGTAAAATGATTACACTATGTAGGCTCCAGAATTTCATCCAAGGTAATGAATTCCGTTATTTTTTAATTAAACTTTGCACTGTCACTTGAGATTTTTTTGTCATTTTAAAACCTGTGGCTACCTGTGGTTGTCTCTCTGTGTATTGAGGGAGATGTCTTGTTTTCAAGTGGTAACAAACCTGTAGTGGAGAAATTCTTAAGTGTCATACCACCTCTTGCTATTCATGATGAACAGAGATTATAAATCATTTGTGTATTGTCCTCATAGGAACTACGAAATATTTTTCCAGCTGACTTTTTTCCATTGTTTAACCCTAGCTGGTCAATGTGCCTGTGCTGACTAAGAGTGTATTTAATCACTATTTTTCATTTTCATTCAGATGATTATCATTCAGATGATTTGTTGTGTTATATTTTTTCACTTCACTGTAGTCCTATTTAATCTCTATACAGATATTTTTGACATTTTCATCCTTTTATTCCTTTGGCTAAAAACTGAAAGTGCCACTTTTGACCATTTACAGCCTAAACGTCCAACTAATCAAATAATTAACAAGCCTTTTCTGAGTAGACATTTTAACTGTTGTTTGCTCTCTCACAGGTTCAAATCAGTAACCTGAGTGAGCTCACTCCAGAGGGCAAAGCTGGTGCCACGTGGCCCATTGGAGTCAACCCACCTTTCCGACCCAAGACGCGCTTTGAAGTGATTAACTGGGAGTACTTCACCGAAGACCACATCTATTCATGCGCAGACAGCTCACCAAAGTGTGAACTCCGTGGAGCTGACCGCGCGGACGTTAACTCCATTCTGGAGACGGCTGTGGAGCGCTTGAACGAGCGTTATCAACCGCAGCTACGCTTCCGCAAGCAACGGCTTCTGAATGGCTACCGCCGCTTTGACCCTACGCGAGGCATGGAGTACATGTTGGACTTGGCCCTGGAGGCCTTTACACAGAAGGGTCACAGTCAGGTCATTGCCAAGCGAGTTGGCCTACTGAGGCCTCTCAGTGCCATCGAGATCATTCCGATGCCATACGTGACTGAAGCAACAAGGGTGCAGGTCATCCTTCCAGTAACGGCACGTGATCAGGACTTTGTAGGCAACTTTTTGGACACATATGTCATGAATGCTTTGGACACTCGTGACAATGCTCTGCTTACCTTCTTGTTTGTATACGATCCCTTCGATGCACAGAGGGTCAGCCAAACGGACGTCTTTGCTGGAGTCAAGGCCATGATTGGCGAGGTGGAGAAGCGCTACAGTGACGTGAAGATCCCGTGGATTAGCGTCAAAACAGAGGTACCCTCACAGGTCAAGCTTATGGACATCATCTCCAAGAAGCATCCAGTGGACACCTTGTTCTTTTTGGCCAGCGTTTGGACTGAGGTGAATGCTGACTTTCTGAACCGCTGCCGAATGAACGCCATCAGCAACTGGCAGGTCTTCTTCCCCATCCACTTCCAAGAATACAGCCCTGCTCTTGTTTACCGCGACCAGCAGCCTTCTGCTGCCTCGTCTTTTTCTTCAGAGGCTCTGCGCGATGGCCGTTTTGACCGCCACGTCTTCGAGGAGGCCTGTTTCTACAATGCAGACTACATGGCTGCCCGCACCAGAATGGCGGCTGACATCTTGGACAACGACGAGATGCTGGAGAGCATGGATGTGTATGAGATTTTTGTGCGTTATTCGGGCCTGCATGTGTTCCGGGCGGTGGAGCCAGCTCTGGTGCAGAAATACGTTCGTCGAGTTTGTAACCCTCGGTTCAGTGAAGACATCTACCATCGATGTGTGCTGAGCAATCTAGAGGGGCTGGCCTCTCGATCTCATCTGGCTATGGCACTGTTTGAGCAAGAGCAGGCCAACAGTACCTAGGAACCAACACTGGTTACTGTGACTGTAAATCACACTCAGTGAATCTCATTCTACCAACAAACGGGCCTTACTGGACCTTAAGCAGCAACTAAAACTGTAACTATCTGACCTGGACCCACTGAATGACTCAGATTTTATGAGGTTGTCTTATTGACTCAGTCAAGGTTTTCTTGCTCATTGAATGGGACTTGTTAAACCACAAGAACTTATTCAGTGGGTTTAGCCTGTTGGTTGTTACATAAAGTGAACTTGACTGGATGGCGCTTGATCTTTTAACTCGATGCATAGAGTCTTAGACTCTGTTTACACCTGTTTGATGTGTCTTTTTATCTGGATTGTTACCTGATAAGAGTTTAACCACATGCATTTACACTTATTAAATTAGTAGTGGGCAGTATAGCAGTTTTCTGGTATACTGGTATATATGAGTTTCTTCATAATCGTTACACCTGTGTGCCACACGTAGATAATGTGACGCACAAAAAGAGTAGCTGACTGGCTGAGCGAGGAATGGTTGTCACGTTTCAAGTAAAAATAAATATGTAGCAGTCCTTCGATCTAGTCCCTCCCCTGACTAGTCTGTTGCATCTCACGTGGTCTACTTTGTGTCTGAGGCAGCGAACATAAAGGAATGGCTGGTCATTTGGGGTTAGCCTAACATGGACACCAAAGCAATTGTCGTGATTCTATTTCCACTGCTACTGCCTGAGAATCCACCTGACTTGGCCAGATAATGCTGCGGTGGGGGCCTTGTGCGTGAAACAAGCTGTGGATCAGCTGGTACTGAAACATAAATGACTATAATGTTTTCCAAATTCCAAATGCCAAACAGTCAGAGACACAAGTCTGTGGGACACAAGTATGAGACAATTGACTTGTGCTGAAGTTAGCTTTTTATTTGAATATCCTATTTCACCTTAAATGGTTTAGCAGTTACATTCAGGTGCTTGAACATAACTGCTGCACCATTTAAGGTGGCACTTTAGAGGTTAGAGTTACAAAGCAATACTGACATAGGTTTATCTATGTTTTGTTCAGTTTTGTTATTACTGTTTTGCATAGCAAAATTATTTATTGTTTAATTTGGTTGTTAAAAATGTTTCTTACGAAAAAGTGAAGGAACATCCCAGCATAATAAGCTCCTGTTAGCCTGCAACAATAGGCTTACCTTAGCCATCTAAAATGTTATATGTCTATGTCTATATATATATATACAGTGATATATACTGAAAACACCAGAAATTTTAATTATACTGTGGATTTTTTTACTGCCCACTACTAAGTCAAATGTTTCTCTGGTTAGACTGAAATCTGATTTCCATGTGGTGCATAATATGCAAATCAGCTCAACAACTGATTGTCTGAGTTGTTCCTTGTTTTTCCTGTTCTATTTGAAAGATTGTTTCTGCTTTGAAAATCATAATTTTGCATGACGTTATTAATTTCCTTACTCTCACGTTCATAGGCTTTTTTGAATAATTAGTCTCCTAGGTCATGCATTAAAACATAATGTAGCAAGACAGTAAATAACATTATGGGGAAGTAAAGATTAACCAAACTGCCACTCTATTTTATTTAACTCCCTTGACTTAAACTCAGTGGAGCTGTAATGAAAGCGCCATGTCTCTGTTTAGACATGGCAGTATGGTGGGGGTTTTTGCCCCTTATGCAGAGCGGCCGAGGGAGTATTGAGAGGAGTTTTGGCATTTTTACGTGGGTAATCTCTATCTGAATGTAATCCTGATACTCAAGATACATTAAATGAAAAGGTGTAAACAGGGTCATAGTGACTCACTCTCATTGAAATGAAACGTAGTGAACTCAACTCTGTGTACATGACTACTCCACCTGGTTATAGTAAACTGGGTGGTTCAATTCTCGGTTAACTGAATTAAATTCTTAACGGTCATCAGTTTCCTAGGAAGAAAAAAAGGAATTCATTTGACTTACTGGTCAAACTTGAGTTTTGGTGTCCCTAATTGTAGGTCTATCTACTATTAGCATTATAAATATAACCTAAGTGCTATGCAAGTACATTGTAATGCTGTATTTGATTACATGCTGTCGGGGTATGTAGTCATGTACTGTACTAGCGTAATACTTAACATTTAATGCTTTATCACTGTAATGTTGGGTGTCATTTTACAGAGATTGGTTGCAACTCAACTAAATTGTTGAAAACATTGACCTAAGTAGAAGCAAAAGCAGCTTTTACTAACAACCCAAGTTACAATGCATAAAAATTCAAAATTAAAATTGTATTAAACGCAAACATTGAACTTGAACAGTAACTAGATGTGAGAAATAGTACATTACTGAGTAAAAAGTATTTCCTTTTAAGAAATATATAAACGTTTTGCAGGTAGAAAATATTTAAAATGGTACAAATTCTTACGAATGGTACTTGAGCACACGGCCCTCAGTGTGCAGTTTGCCCACATCTACTGAATACATCATTTCAATAAATCTTTAGAGACACCGACTTATTATATGTGAACAAATTGTAGTGAACTCTGATCTTAAAAAGACGTTTCAGCATTTTGGCAAATAAATACAGTATTGTGCAAAAGTCTTAGGCACCTCAGCACATTGTTTAAAACCGTCTATCTTGGCAATAAGTGTGTTTTTTAAATAAGTGTGCTTGTAAAATCACCATATGTCATTAGAACAAATAGAAATAAACTTAAATTTAGTAAAAAGTAACAAGCATTTCTAATTTTGAAGGAAGGAGTTGATGTCTTGTGAGCTAGTTTGAAGAACATAGTTTGGTTCCAGATTTCTCTATGAGGTCCAAAGTCATCACATAGATGTACTAAATTCCTTCAGCAGCACAGTTAGTGAAATATTGATTAAGTGAACCAGGTATTGGATGAGAACTGTAGTTAATACTTGGCGTCTACAAGGCTGATCAATTAAAGCAGCTTTTTAAATCAAATTCTCTCATGTGCCTAAAACGTTTGCGCAGTACAGTTTGTATATTTTTCTCTGCTAAATTAATTTTCCGAGCCAGGATTTTCTGAGCACTATCCATATGGTTGCCAGGAGTCAGAATCAATCTGACTGCTTGTAATACTAACAATAATGATGATGATAATAATAATTAATTTTACATATAATGCTGAGACTACTTTCCTTAGGTGCATTCTTTCCTACAGCTTTCTTGTCATTTGAGAAGCAAAGCCTTAAACCCTTGTCATTAGGGGAATGAACAGTTGGCGCAGTTGGGTTGAAAATACTTCACAGGGAATCAAAAATGAAGATTTTGTAACCAAGATGGGGTCATTGAGTTCCTCCACAACTGCTCTAGGCCCAGTTTCCCAAAAGAATCTTAGTGTTAAGATCATCTTAACTGGAAGAGAAAGAGTGCTCAGTGTGATGTTCACTCTACCATTTAAGAATTATTTTTGTGCTAAGATATTTCTGGGAAACCTAGGCCTGTTTAATTAGATTTTACAGTGAAAAAAGGGAACTACATCTGGCTCCTGTTGTAAGAAGTGCCTTGCTTAAGATTTTTAACGGCTCAGTGTGACTCTTCAGACTCACTCACAGAGCCCTGACAGGTTAAAACCAGCAGTTTGTAGTCAGTAGCCTTAACCACTCGTCCCTGCCCTGCTAATTATATACACTCTGACTGTGATCATAATAAAGGTGCTGTTTAATAACGTATAACGTTAACTACAGTGAGATGTTCCATTAAATTTGCCAAGCTGAGAGGTCCTCCCTCTCTGTTACCTTAGACTGTACAGTGAGGGGAAAAATGAATTCATACTTATGACTAACCAGAAGATGGATTATTTGCCAAAATGTTGAACTGTCCTTTTAAGCTCCTGCTTCAACCGCACCTTGAGCCTTTTGCCTTTCTTTACGTACATGATTGTATGAGATTTGAATGAAATGTGTTGAACCTGTTGATGTCAAATAAAAACCTGAATATTTGTGAAAATGTGGTCTTTCAGTTTTGATACACAGTGTAGACCAGGGCCTTTATATATATTGTAGGCCTCGTTGAAGAGAGGCACTGATATAGGGATTCTGAGCTGATGCTGCTAACTGATATTATTAATGTTCCTACAGTCGCATGCAAAAGTTTGCTCATGTTCTGTTGACATTCTAAGTGAAAATGAATGAACAAATACTCTACAGAGAACTTAAATATGCTATTTAAGTTTGCAAATTTTAGTACACAGTTTCTGTGTATTAGTTGAGTTTGACATATTGGAAAAAATAAAACTTAGAACTTTTGCACAGGCCATGTTTTAGGTTTCCCCCAATATGGTAAAATTCAGCAAGCAAACAGTGATTTAACAAACAGAGCATTAAAAGGTGCAGAACTTTATTCTCAGAAGAGCATGTGTTAAATTATTTTCACTCAAAACATGTAATATGACCAAACATAATTTGCACAAACATAACTTTAGCATGACCAGGGTTGTTTCTGTGTGGGGTTTGCATGTTCTCCTCGTGTCTGCGTGGGTTTCCTCCGGGTACTCCGGTTTCCTCCCACAGTCCAAAAACATGCAGTCAGGCTGATTGGATGTGCTAAATTGCCCCTAGGTGTGAGTGTGTGTCTGTCTGCCCTGTGATGGACTGGCGACCTGTCCAGGGTGTATCCTGCCTTCCGCCCAATGACAGCTGGGATAGGCTCCAGCACCCCACCGCGACCCAGAAGGATAAGCGGTTTAGATGATGGATGGATGGATGGATGGATGGATAACTTTAGCATGTGACTGAATCTGTCGATGCTGTACATTTATAAAATGTAGAACCTGGGACTACATCAGCCTGACTTAGGCCTATTGAGAAGTGTGTAGGAATAAAAATGCAGTAAAATAAACAAAAAGCAGACATTCAGCTCTTCTGGAATGCAATAAACACAGCATCAAATATTGGTTTGAATTATCTACCAAATCTAAGCATCAGTCTGGCCATTTTTTTTTCAATCACTCAAAAGTTTGAAATCAGTGCTTTCAAGAATTTAAAACTGATTTGGTTGCATACAAACATATCACAGCCTAGAAATCCAAGCCGAAGACAGGCCCCCTGTCCTCCCTTCCTGCTCCCACACCAGAATACAAGCCAAACAGAATGTTTATTTACTTCATAGCAGTGTTATCGTCAGGGATAAGTATGCCTAAAATAATAAACATAACCCCCACTAACTGACCATGAATTGTTATAACTAAGCCTACCCTAAAAAAGAAAAACAAAACAAAATGAAAATCACTACCCTCGCACCCTGTCTATCCAGTAAACAGGAGAAAAAGGAACCCATCCAAAAGAAAGCAGGCCTTTTCCCCTACACAGCTGCCCTGACTTAGAAATACAGTAAAGAGAAAAAAGTCACAAAGTAGAAACAAACAATCATGATGATGGCGAAGTGTCTCTCCTACTCACACACTACCAGTATGAAACACAGATCTGCAGCCACAAAGACAGGCAGTCAGGCAGATGGGAGCAGAGCTGGAAGAACACCATCTGAAATCCAAAGCTGCCAGCAATTTACAGCCAAATCAGATTAAAATGTTCAGATTATATGTGTTTTATCATTGGAGTGCAGCAGTTAATGACATTAGAATGTGCGACAAGAAGGTCACTGGTGCACGTTCACACTCGTGAAAGCTGCTACTGACACTTAAAGGAAAAAAGGTGACTGTGTCATAATGACTTACTGACTACTAAGAAAGTTATGATTTATAATTATGATTTAATGCCTCATGATGAGTTTCTGATAGTTATGACTTAATATCTCATAATTATGACTTGCTATCTCATAATTATGAGATACTAAGTCATAAATATAAGAGCAAGTCAAAATTAAGAAATAGTGATAATAATGACGTACTAAATCATAACTATGATATTAAATCATTAAAAGTCGTAAGCATGACAGTATCTCATTATTATTAGATAGGAAGTCATAATTATGAGATACCAAGTGATTATGAGATACTAGGTCATATTAATGGGAAACTTCTAGAGTAAAAGCTTTAATAGCAATTTAGGTAACATCTTTTTACTACTCTGTTGTTGACAGTGATTACTTCGCTGAATGATCTGAACTTGAAGCCTGTCTCTGAGCTTGTTAGCAGTGTGCTGACCAGGTCAGCTTTCGCTAACGGTAAATTCTGTTCATGCTGTAGTTAAACTGTGTAACTGTGTTGTGAATTAGAGCATGATTGTTCTGTTAGCTAGTTAGACCATTAGGTTTGCCCCTACCTGGTCAGCGCACACATGCGTGCATCGTTACTATGGCAACCAATGTGTATATGTAAACAATGGAATTACAGTCTGACTATACAAATCAGATTTGGTCACTTGTAGCTTGAAATTTGAACAGTCAGTCTAAAAGGATTATAAAGAAAACAAGTCCGGTTTGGCCTGCAGTGTGACCAAAGCCTTAGACTTGGTGTATTTAAATGCATTTGTCTTCAGAGGACAGTTTGTTTGTGTTATTTATGTTCTTGGTTTGGTAATTTGGAGCAACAGTGAATGAATGTGACACTTTTATTTGTTTTTAAATGCCTAAAATAATGTATCTTTACTCTTATTTAGGATTTGCAGCACACAAGCAGCTCCACCTGTTTGTTTGCTTTTAGCGTTCTCGTGATAGAGGTCTCGAGGCCTCTCGTCCTCTTACCATCTTTATGCCTGTTAGCTTTCATGTGAGGCCAGTTCAATATCCTGTGCTCCATCAAACAGCAGCCACAATCTAAGTAAAACATGCTGACTCCTTTTAGCCTTTTAGAACAAACATTTCATGAAGTGCGGCCCACATGTGGCATTTTACTACACATTAAAACTATTAACTGTCAGCTGATTCAGCAGCGCTGTGGTCTGTGAGAAGTGGAACTGCACTCTAGAGTTCTGAGACATATTTAACTTTGTGCTCAGGCTCTGATTCCTGTCTGAAGGGCTTCAAAGTGAATACTAACGGTATTCAGTCATGGCAGGAGGAGCTTTTTCTGTGAAAAAGGCTATCATTTGTATTCTGAATGCGTTTCAGAGTAATTTAGCTCACACTATTAGAAATCTTCCAGACAGTTTTATCTCATGTTTTATGCGATTTGGATACCGCTGCACTGTGTCTGTCTGTAGCTTTGCAACCCCTTACTGTTCTGTATCAGCTTTCTAATCACACAGTCTATATCAGGGATAACCTTTTCCACCCCAAGGCTCAACTATTTATCTTAAGAAAGCAACAAAGAAAGAAAGAACAATTTTTTTGCTTATTTTTAAATTTCTCAGGTCCTGACATTGACTATTAAGGGAAACATCTTTAAAATAATCTATAAGAGAAAAGAAAATTTGTGTTTAGAGCTTTAGCACTGACTTCTCTGTCATTGCCCACTGTCCAGGAGATTCGGTCAAGACCTAATTTTATTTCAAACGTGCATAAAAAAGCTTTTTCTGCATTTATTTCTGTTTCAGTGCTTTGTTGATATTAGGGCTGTTGTAGTTGGGAATTTTCAATACAGTGATATGTAACATATGACATTAAATATTAGGCTAATGTAAACTTGTTTTGTACTTGTTTCAGCAGCATAGAAACTCTGCGCGTGGAAGAGTGAATAGAGTGAAACATCAGGGGAGGCAAGAAATAGATGAAGCTGCTTCATGTGCTGTTCTTGCAGGTGATGTGTTAATATTCTTTAGCGATTTAAAATATGTTTAATATCTTTGTCTTATTATTAAGTCAGTTATTTTTTCACTGATTTTCAAAACAAAAAGGTCCACTGGCTCCCCCTCAGTATTGGCCCAAGGACCACCAGAGGGTGCTTCTTTGCTTATTTGTGGTCTGCGGCCAGTGGTAGAAAAACATTGGCCTACTTGATAATATAATACCAGTATTCACTGTAATAGGGCCTGTATGCTCATATCATTTTTCTTGTTTTTTGTTTTTCTCCTAGTGTTCTTCTGACAATTAGGTGCTTTTATGTACCAAAAATAATTATGATTAATATCTACATGACCATTAACCAACCACTTTTAATGCCTTGGAATTAATCAGGCTGTTTTTGTTACTGTGTCGTAAAGACTGACGTGTTCAAAAATCTTTGCATAATACATCAAACTCCTTTATTTAAAAAGTAAGAAAAATAGTTTTCTCCACGATCTGTTAAATGTGCTTTATAATCCTGGGGAAATGCTGATATTCTGCAGTGAGTTTGTCTTCACAAAAATATCATATTATAGTGCCAAAGAGGCCTCATGAAGCCATCCTCAAACATTCATGTACAATATTACATTGTGGTTTTCCCCTGACCCGTTAGCTGGACTAATTTGTGTTGCAGGGGTGGATCAATTGGAACAACACCAGATACCAGGTCCTAATATCAGAAACAGCAGCAGATTCTATCTTAGAGAGAACTTTGCTTCTATATCTAAATGGTTGGAAATAATGAAAGAAAGCAAACCAAACTGAACTCATAAGCGTCTGGGTGAACGTATGGATTCTGAGCTCTCTATCTGAAGCTGAAGGAAGTTTCCCAATTCAAGTTTTTGGCTGTGAGAAATAAGTAGATCTTTATATAGAATTCAATCCTGGGCATTTGTTCACTTATTCACAGAGCGCCTCCACAGTGTCTACATACTAAAGGCACTCACACATATACATATTAGATTATTAGCCCTCAGCAATCAAGTTATTGCTGTTGTTGTGCTACAGTTGTATGCAAAAGTATCTGCGCCCCAGGGCAGATGACATGCCTTGTTGGTTTTCTCAGGGAAACCAAGTTAAAACATCCTCTACATGAGGGCACAGCTCTGCACACTTTATATTTTATGTTTTATTTTTTCCAATATGTTTAAATTAGCAAATACATAGAAATTGTGAATTGTGAAATTGTGAAAGACAATAATCGTACTTTTAATCACATAGCGAGTTACATGATGAGTTACATGTACTCAATACATTCTGTATTTGAGTCTGCACCTTTCTGACTT